GGAGGAGGGGGAACTCGAGGGGGATCGAACAAATGTTCCGGCGGCACATGCATCAAATCCTGAAGTTGCGTGAGAGATGGAGTCCCTGCTTGCTCAGCGGCGAGCCACGATAAAACGGCCGAGCCGGAGTTCTCCGCCCTCTTCATCGTCGTCGTTGTCGCCGACGACGCCCGGCTGCGACTCGAAAACGGAGCGCTCGAGCGTCCCGGTACTTAGCATGCGCGCGCGTGAAAGAGAGGAAACACGTACAAAAAAAAATGCTTAATATACCTTGTTCCCGTGATAAAATCCCCGCGCTCTTGAATTAAACCAGCCACGAAACCGACGGAGATGGCGCATCTCGCTTGCTCTCTCCATGAACATTTCGCGGAACGTCACGATAATCGTTCGCGACGTTTCCTGCTTAAACGATCAATGTCGATCGATGTTTGCGCGCATCCATCTTGCCGACGTTGATACGAACATCCCACACCGCGAAGGAAGTTCGACGGCGAGGGTAACAGCTGACGGGGCTATGCGGGAAATTGAGACGAGACGGAAACGGGAAGGAGATCCCGGAAAGGGGAAGAGTATACGAAGTTTCCACTGCTCGACGAAATTTTTGTTGCGAACGTTGTCGTCACTCTTGAAAAGTATACTTTCAATTGCTGCGGCACGTTTTGTAATTAGATTTTTTGTTCTGCACAATACAAAAGAATCTACAGAAATATCTGTAATTAACTAAGCTTATGTCGGGAAAGAGAAAATATTAAAATAATTAGTGCCTAAGACTTTCGGTGATTTTTGTAATAGTACTTTTACAATAAGTCTCTCCTCTTTTAATAATATATATAACTGTTAATTAATTATAAATTTACTAAAATTAACTCAATAATTATAGTATAACTTATAAAATATATCTTGTTTAGAATTAATATAATTTAACGAACAAATTTGTTACATTTATTAAATTCATGAATGTTGATTAACTTTAACACAGCACATTAATGGCAGAAAACTCAAGAATATAAAAAAAACATTTAATATCCTCAGTCAATGCTGTGCATTAAATCTCGCAATTCTTCTGTTATCACATATTGAAGCTTTACGACAATGATTAACCGTGATTGTGACAACATCCCGGGAATTGCTTTGCAGTACCTCCGTACAAGGACATAAACGACGCCTCCGTACGCTGCTCCAGCGGGGTTGCCGAGGGATATGAGGGGAACGAGAGAGACGATGGATGCAGAAGTGAGAGCAAAGTGAGACACGGGGAGAATAGCTGCACCGAAAGACAAATACGGCGCCAGACTCGGTTACGTTACAGCCGGCTGCATCCGCGCGCGACACTCTCTATACGCCTGCCCTGGATCTCGCCCTCTTATTCCTCTCCCGTTTTATAAAGGCCGCCGACCCTCCATCTCTGTCCTCCCGACACGTACTCTAGATTGTAAGTACGTACCCCTCGAGCTTACGCGCGAAAGTGGACACGAAAAATTATCCAATCCCCGAGATTCTGCCCTGGAACGTCCTTCGTCTTGGGTT